CAGGGCAGGGCAATCTTTGGGGATGTGACCAAGATTTTCTGTTTTTCTTTGGATTTGGAAGTGATGGGGGAATTCTTTGTTTTTGAGAAAGCCAATATTAAGTTTTACCATTCAGTTTTCTGGCATTCCCAGCCTGAAAATGGCAGGAAATCCTTGCCATTTCTCAACAGTTATGGGCAAAAGTGGACTTTGAAAACTTCAGAAGCAAAATACCAAGGCCACATTTGGCTCAGGATCTTAAGTAAAGAAGCAGCATGCTGGTGAGATGCTAAGCTTCCATGATGCTTTCACGTCTTTCCTCCCTCGCAGCTTGTCCATCTGCCCCACGAGGTTTTGCCCTGCTGAACTGTGGGAAGGACACCATGACCATAGGCTGGAAGCCTCCGAAACGCAAAGGAGGCTCAAAAATCCTGGGCTATTTCTTGGATCAGCATGATGTATCACAGATTGACTGGCATGAGATCAACATTAAGCCCATTGCTGAACGGGTTTATACGGTATGGTGCCAGTGCCATTTGGACTTGGAAGGGGACCTCGCCCTCTGTCCCTTCCTGATGGCAGCCATATTTGCTTATGGCTGAATCTTTTCCTTTTGCCAGAAAAGCAAAAACAAAATTAAAATGAGTGCTTTTTGATTGTCAGGGTGACATTGTGGACAACCAAACTGGAGGCATTTGAAAAGGGTTCTAAAAAGACACTAGAACTTTTGCCATACCCACGAAGCTAGCTTTCCCCATCCTGATGCACTTCAGATAATTCAGACTTCAACTTCCAGAGTTCCCTCTTGCACTCCAAGAATTCTTTAGCTGTGTTGGCTGGGAATTCTGGAAGCTGAGTTTTACATATCTAAGGGGCATTCAGTTGGGAAAGACAGCAGTAGGGGAAGCTAGTTTCAGTTTTTAGTGGAAATAATTTGCAAAGCAAGACATGTCTTCATAAATGGGATGCCTTCTTTTTGAGGTAAGGCTTTGGGAAATGATCAACGTTTCTTATGATTCTATAGGTCACCAACCTGGATGAAGAACACTTTTATGAGTTCCGTGGTTATGCAATGAACATAGTTGGTGTTGGGAAGGTGTCAGAGCCCAGTGATATTTTCAAGTGTGAGGAGTGGACAATGCCAGAACCAGGTAAATACAAAATCTTGGACATGGTCAGATCCAAAACACATATACTAATAAGATGGGATCTTTGGGCATATAAACCTATATATTTTTGGTCATCTATAGCCTCCAAAACTGAAGGAGTTGAACTCCGTAGTCAATGAAGAACCTTCCAACATTATGAATCTATGATTCTTTGATTCTTTTTTGGTCCACAGAACCTCTTCTGACTGTGGACACAGGGTGTAGAGAACCACAGAGATGAGCTTGGAGAAGGAATGCAACAGTTAATAAAACATGAATTAAGTCCAGGAAAAGAAGAGAACATTAGCAACAAATGTAAACTGTGGAATCAGTTTCCTGACTTGGTCTACAGGATCTTTGCAGCATTCCAGAATACATGCTTTAAAATCCCCTCTTCCTTCCAAAACAGGCCCTCCTTACGACGTCAGATGTACGGAAGTAAGAGACACCTCCCTGATGCTCCATTGGGAGCCACCTCTGTATACTGGAGCAGGACCAGTCAGTGGTTATTATGTGGAGGCCTGCGAGGAAGGATCAGATACCTGGGAACGACTGAATAAACAGCCGATATCCAGCACACACATGAAGGTTTGGGCTACATTTGACATCATGCTTTATTTGTGGTAAAGTCTACTAAAATTTGAAGATAGCAGTGTTTAAACACCTGGCCAGCCATAATATGTGGCTGGTGGTTAAGTTCCATGGTGGGCTACCAAATGCATCCCAAAACACATCTCCACAGGTCCTGGTTTAACTGGCATAAATGTGGAGCCATTTTTGATAGATGCTGTCAGGGCTGTTTAAGAAGTTGACATCACTTATAATTATGATCATGGTTGTAAACTTTCAGCATCAGGTCTAGCCTGCGTGTTTAAATAAGGCAAGTAGAGCTTGTTGGATTAGTCTGGAATTCTGCAGATCTCAGCAACCTGACCATCTGTAGACAGCTAGGATTCCCTAAGGCAGTGTTGTCCAAACTTGGCCACTTTAAGATGAGTGGACTTCAACTCCCA